GATGTGTTTTTTCATCTTGTCATGAACATGGGACAAAGAAAAAATTCTGAGTCTCTATGAGGAATCAAACCTCAGACCTTTGGATTAGCTCAGTTGGTAGAGAACTGAACCAGTACAGCAGAGGTCATGGGTTCAAATCCTGTACGGGACAGAATTTTTTTCATACCTTATTTTCGCTACTGGTAAATAGTGTAAATTACTATGAAAATCGCTTTCATTTTTATTTCTTAAACTGCAGTTCATGTATATGATTTTCATATATTCACAGTCATTGACAAAACAAAATAGTTGTAAAAACAAGGGTTTTCCTTTTCATTCCTTCCTTTACCCAGGAAGTTTACCATCTGGACCCAGTGTTTTAGCTTGTGACCAGAAATGTGAAGAGTTGGCTGTTTGCTTAAAGTACAACAAACTAAGAAAATAAAGGAAATCTTTAGTGCTCCCTGTAAGATTTTTACTTGACTTTTTTGTGTCTTGAAAGGACTGAGTGATGATTGGTTACAGTCAGAGCTGTTTTTATACCTTATAAATGCAATACTTTACCAGCAAGCACCTCTGCTGTATTTGATATTCACTTCTTTATCTCTTAAAGACACTAAGCTGCAACTAGTTTTAAAAAGTGTTTTACCAAAATGTCTAATAGAGCTTCTATATTTTAAATGCGCTGGAATTTGAATGGAGCAATGTCTTTTTTTAAGTTGATGTACAAAGAATTCTCCTATGTTTCTCTTTGTTTAAAAATCAATCACTTGTGTCTTAACAAACAGGGAAAAAAGAAGAAAGAATTTGTTTCACGAAAATGATATTGCTTCTCTTCGTGAGCCTACCTATTAACAAATTACAGTAACATTTTAAGAACTATCCTCAGTAACTGTTACATTTTTTCAACACCTCATTAACACTATGAAAAGGGTAGTATCATTTGTGTATCATTTTCATAACATTGAAGTCAATTGTGACACAACCAAATTTTATTAACATTAAAATTGTGTTGTTGGTTGTAATCGATTGTCATCAATTGTGAATCAATTTTCATTGAAAGTTTTGAAACTTATTTGTGCAGGGGACTCAATAACAAACATGAGGCTAGAATGTGCCAGTGGTGACTGAGCTTCAAGCAGACTTGAAAAAGACTCTGGCTGAGGACTGCCCAGCTCACCTACAGATATTACTGTAGCTCAGCCTACACAAAGCACATTTTTGAAATCACAGTGCAGCAGTTCACAGTTTGAAGGACTGTCTGAAACAAATGATTTCTCTGCTTTTGTCTCAACTTGGGGAGTAAACCTCACTCCTTTACAATTTTTCACAATTCCAGCATTTAAGGCTGATGTTCCCATCGTTTCAAGCACAAGCAAGCAAAAGTCACCGACATGTGCTGATGTGTTTCAGCTCTGTTGCCAGTGACTTGATGCTTTTGAAATTCATCTCCACAAAGCCAGTTAATTTCCTGGTGTGAATAAAATAATTTTAAACTAATCTAAACTATATCAAAACATATAAAAACCACACAAAACTATACAATCAGTTTCACAACTACAGGTAAAAAAGAAAAGCAACCAATAAAATATTGTCATATTTTAGAAAACTCCATTTATCTTTATTTTTTCTAGGTTTCCATCAATCATTGGTATTATCAAAAAAAAATCCTATTCAATAAATTTAAAGAATTATTTAATGTTGATTAAACCATTTCCACCTTAGAATTAAATAATAATTATTCCTTCCTTCCTCAACATGCTCAAAGGTCTTGTAGTCCCTTGCTCATAAAACAGAATTGTCTCCAAGAATCAAGTTAATTTTAACACCCCCTCAAGCAAAAATGCCATCAAGTTTATCTTTTAAAAAACAGTAGCTTTAAATTTTGCAGTCTCCTTTCCATCCCGTCCCTGTTTAAAACCATTACCTCCTCTGCCACACTAAGAAAAAGAATCATTCCTTCTGGTAGGTGAGAACTTTTTCAGCTAAGTCTTTTCTTCCGACACCAACCAAAGCAGTCACTAGTTTACTACGAGTTACATTTGCTCCCTGCGCATGTTTCCATGCATTGAACATGGCAATAACCTTTTCAGCAATTATGGTATTTTCTTGATCAATAGTGGCAACATGATCAGCGTTCAAATCCAAATAACTTGCCAATAGTTTCCATTCCTTAGGAATTTTTTGAGAGAGGTCTGCAATGAGGGAGTCAGGGACAATTTCTGAAACTACAAATAAAAGAGAGTGTTAAATTCAAGATGATATACTGGTTAGTTAACCTAATCCTCTCCATCCTGCAAAATAATTTGCTCTCAAACCTTCCAGCCACCCCACCAACCCCTTAGGACATGATATGCTTGTAAACTGTTGAGAAATTTCAGAGCCTAACCTTACCAAACTTAGCACCAAAACAGTTGACAACAAAACATCTAACCCCTTAAAAATTTTGGGAACACCAAAGGTCCTACTCTGCAAAGGCCTCAGATCTTCTGGCTTGACTTTAGGGGTATCAGGTTAGAAGGGGCAGGGTGCATTCTATCCTAGGCTCTTAAAGTGTAATGCCATAAAAGAAGCAGTTGTCTCAGAAGTGACTTCCTCATTCTAATGAAGACATTAAGTGGATCTCTTAAGTCTGTTTCATAATTTTTCCAATGCAGCCCAGGGTCAGTTGTTTGAAGGTAGATTAGAGTTATGCTAGGGTTTCTTCATTTATCTATTCAAAAGTATTTTTGGAATACTTTCTTCTTTTCTTTTTAGAGCATCCAGTCATCAAATTGTAGACAAAAGTAATTAAACTGAATTTTGATTTAAAGCTTTCGGATCTGAAATGAAATTTCACAAAGACCCTAGGTTGTCTTAAACCAGCTTTGAACAATGTGGCTTAGGGCTGTAACTCAGGCTTATCAAAAGTGGCTGGTAGTACTATAATTCACCATCTATGTACAATAAATTGGCAGGACTTTTGGTAAAAGATGGGATAAACAATTTACAGCAACTTAAAAAAGTTGCCAACTTAAAAATTATCTGATAACCTAGGTAATTCTATCAATGATTAACTTGTTGACA